ATTATAAACCAAGTCAAAGACCTACTTTCACTCAAAGGAAACACAACCCACACTCTCACTTAGCCTCAGCTTGGCTCTCATGCTCTCTCTTTCATTGGCTTAGAAAGATGTAATAACAGCAGAGTGTAGGAGATCTGGTGTGGAGTTTTCACACCTGCTTCCCTGAGTTTAAATGCAAATCACAAGTCCTGTCACAAGAGAAAAAAAAAAACTTTGTCTCCTGCAGTGACATTGAGGGTCCTCTGTGTGTCTCCTCTCTGTTTCCAATCTCTGTACTTGAGATCTTTCTTTTGTGTCTCATGATGACAGTTGGACTTTGTCTATTTTATGCGTTCAAATCCTCCGGGAATGTTCCAGGCCAGCTGTCAGAAGAGTTTTGTCAATGTGCTAAGAAAATATCATTCAGCAGCAGGAGAAAAAAAACACCACAAAGTGCTTAGAAAATGATAATTGAATGAAATTACATTTGACTTGTATGCTCTTAACAAATTCCCTCATAAGACATAGTAGTTAAAAATAAAAACAAAAAAAGTTACTGTCAAAATAGCTTTATTTTCTCCAAACTGGATGAATAAGAAAAACAGCCAAATTATCTGATGATTTTTTTTTTTTTATTCTGGAAATGTAAGCAGATAGGATGACGTAACAGGAAGGTTAGGTCCCATCTGAAAGAGCTGTCATCTGAATAGCACTTTTCTCACTACTCTCCAAAAGTAAAAAGCCTCGGGAATAATTGCTGGATGCGTCACTTCATGCTCGTAATTTTAGAAACAACTCCCCCCATCCCCCAAGCCAGCTAACGCACGTCCACAAATGGCAGTAGCCAAGTCCAGCCCACCCACCCCCTATCCCCTCTTCCCTTCAAGAGCAAAAAACACAGGGTCCCTATTTTCTGTGGCTGCAGGCTGGCTTTAGGTCATTGTGTCCACTAATATATCAAAGAACAGCTGTCCTTAAGGCTCTGTGATGACCAATCGCCCCCTCCATCTGTCTAACCCAACCAATCTCTCACTCTGTCGCTCCATGATATCCATCCAATCTTCCTCTGTTGTTGTTCTTCTGTTTTGTCTTTATTCCCTCAATTTCTATCCAAAATAATCTGGGTAACCTCTCTGCATACAACCCTTAGATTAATGTGATTTACCAACCATGCTCAATACATTAAAGTCCTGCACATGCTGCAATTGCAGAATTTAGATCCCCTGAACTAAAACACCTAATGGCTGTAAGGTATTCTTGGAGCACCTTCGTTTACTAATTAGTTATGTTTGTGTGAAAAAAATGCATTGCACTGTCAAGCTCTGAATTTCTGCTGCCTCAGGAATCCGGTGAGGTGCAGCCATCCAAGTGATCCTCAACCCCCCTGCCTCTTAATTGGAGCCTTAATGGGAGCGGAGGTCTTCTTAATGAGCTGATAAACCCCTTGAGAAATAAAGCACTGGGCCCTTGGACTCACAAAAGCCTGGGTCCCTAAAAACATCTTTTTTTCCACCTGAACTATGCACAAAACAACATGCCCACATTCACACACTGGAGAATAATTAGAGCCAATTCACACCCACACTAATGATCCTTGCTCTTATTCACACACAGTTTAGCAGGCTGTGTGTTTACTCAAAGACCTCACAGGGCGTTCCACTGCAACACTCATACCACTCTGCCAACAAAGGGGATATATTCTGCCGTGGCACTTAAGCAAGCTCTTTGAGGGACCATGGGATGAAATCAACAGCCCTAAAAATTAGACTTGCTCACAAGGACCAAAGAAAAAACATAAAAGTAGAGCAAGAGAGAGAGAAGACAGGGGTCAGTCAGAGGAGAGCAGTAAAAACTGCTAGACTGGACTCTTGTGTGTAGCCATTCTCTGTGCATGTGTGGTGCTTTAAAATAAAAGGTATCACTCCACCAGCGGGGGCCCCCAGCAACAAGAGTTAGGGCACTCCTGGGTTGCCGGCCTGGGACTGATTTAGGAGCGTGTTTGAAGTGCAGATTACAGATTTCTGCACCAAATCCCTCTAGGAGTATCCATGGCCCCTGCAATCTCTCTCAGGTTTCTTCTCAGGTCCAGCAATAGTGGTTTCACCCAGCCTAAGGTATTCTCGACAGGATTAGACATGGACCAAGGGTGTGTTGTGCACAAATGATTTTGTCATATACAACCATGCATATCATTATACTCTATATGCAGGAACATAAAGGCTAACTACAAGTGTAGCAGGCGGAAGCAGGAATTCTCAACATTCCCATAAAGGGGGATTCCAGCATGGAGGTGAGAGTCTTCACATGCTCTGCACACATACAAAGTCTTCTTCAATTATTACTCCAGGCTTTAACTGAGAGCTGCAGTGTCACCTGCGAGCACATGGGTGAGTTTGTGTGCCACTAGTCTGAGAGTAAACAGTGTGACTACCTGACACTGCTCTGCGTACCCATGTGAAACTCCTTACTGCAAAAACACACTAGTAGGCTGTTCTGAAATGACCTGGACAACAGAGCTATGCTGTACATGGGAAACTGCTAAGGAGAGGAGACCACTACACCAAGTCATAAATGGCTCCAACCCCCCACCACGCACACACACAATAGTTTGGATGATACCTATTAACCAGCAATGAGGAGTCTGAACGCAGACTAAGTTTTCCACCATCCGACTCTTACATTCTTGGACCTGCTGTCATGGAGCAGCAAACCTTTTTAGTCAAAATGGAAACATTTAGATCAAGACAAAAAAATTTAAAAAATGCTTCAGATTATAAATTTATGTTGGTGACTTTTTTTCCAAGGGTTTAAGAGGACTTGGAGTACTTTTAGTGCCTTCCGCCTGCTGCTTCAACATTGCTTCTGATACATGGTAAAAACTCACAAGATTTCCATCGTAAGTTAGCTGAACAGATTTTAAAAAGATCAAATTTTGTTGAGGTAATGATCAGAAGTTGTCCATACAACTGACCCTCTGGGAACTTGATTTCAGTGCTTTAACAGTGCCCACAAGAGGTCAGGTAATTATTAACCCAATTAATCATACAGTAGGTCATGCTATCAGTTTCACTTTTAGCATCAAGCATCTTCCATGCCAGGGTGAGCAAAGCATTGACATAGTGCAGTGTGAGATTTAGTCATGTTTATATCACAGGGGTGGGCGGTTCCAGTTCCTAAGGGCTGGTATCTTGCAGTTAGATGTGTCCTTGATCCAACACACCTGAATCAAGCAATTAGATGACTGAAAGGACTCGGAAGACATTGTCCGCATGCTGAGGTTGTAATTCAGCCATTTGATTCATGTGTTTTGGATCAAGGACAAATCTAAAAGTTGCAGGATACAGGCCCTCAGGAACTAGAATGGCCCAGCCCCGTTCGAATGGGTGACTTCTGCAATATTAGAGTCACAGTTGTATAGTTCTAAAGCAGCGGTGCTGCTTTGACACTAACATGGCAAAATTTGCAAACATGACTGGAATGAGCTTGGCAGCCTGACTTACCTCATGAAAGGTTTGTATATGATGCAGTATTAAGGTATAAGGCAAGGTGAACCTGGACTGTCTTTTTCAACGACAGGATTTACCATATGTCTGCATCCCAGCAAATGGACTAAAACTTAATCAGATTTTGAATACAAACTATTTAAAAACTTATAGATTTATGTAAGTTATTAGATTTTTCATCATACTGTTTTGAATAATTTAGTGAATGACATCCCATAAACAGCAATGGAGTAACTATCATAGGGTGACACAGCATTCCCCTTCCCCCACAGGTTGCTGCATATGGCTTTTGCGTGAAGCTGTAGGGCTAGTACACTTGTATCTTGCTTACAAGCTCAACTTCTTGGTAGTATTTTATATTAAGTTTTAAGTAGTGGAAATAATGTAATTCAAGACTTCATTAGTAGCAGAAAGTGTAACTGGTGATTTTCCTTTTGTATGAAAGGAAATTAGAGGATGCTCTATCAGTCTGATTATTAATTTTTCATCAAAATTATTTAACCATGAGAATCTGCTACCACCACTGTTTTTCTGTTGATTGATGCATTTGTAAGCTGAAATTGTGGAAGATACCGATTTTGAATGACTTTTTGAACCCAAAATAACATCTAAATTTTAAGGATTTGACCTGTCAATCATCTGGATGTATTGACATGTACTCAAAATGCTGATTGAGAGAATATTGGCCAGCTTCACTTCCAAACAGATTAACTGGTGCATCTCCAATGTAAGTAACTATCAAACATCTGCCAATGATGTTTCAGTCAAGCGTTTTTTTGATTCACATTTGCCTACGCTGGAACTCATTTTTAACAAGCCAAAGGAACAAAAAGAGGTTCCTAATATCAAATTGAAGTCATACTTTTTAAATTAACCCTTCTGTTTGATTTCTCCTTCCTTTCTCGTAACTGTCATGCCAATAATGGTCCATTGAGGCGAGAAAGAGAGCTGGGAAAAGGGGCTCTTGAGGACGAGTCCACAGAGGCAGGCCCCTGCTGGCTGCCAAACAATGAAATTTTGGAGAGTTGGAGCACTGGACTCCCATGAGGCCTGGAGTGAGGTGCCCACAGGGGGAGCAGTGGTACTGGATACGTCAGTTATTAAGTCAGTATTGTGGGTAGAAAGGGGAGAAAAGTCAAGGGAAAGCAGTAGTAATTGTGTGCAATTTTAAATTTTGAATTGCTATATCGGTGCAATTATACTTGCCTAGCTAAGGAGTTTCTGCAGCTTCAACCATCATCCTTTCATTCTCAGTCCACTACTGTTTTTCTTTACCACCTATTGATGAAACATTCATTGCTCAAGGTTTAGCGTTTCCTCTCTGCGTGTCAAAGAAAAATACAGTCCCTGGTTCGAGGCCCATGTTTAGTTACTAGTGCATCTGTCGCTCTGTTTGCACACGTGTCCACTCCCAGTTATTTTTGCAGTGAGAACTCATTGATTTAGGCAAAGTCCAACTTAGTCAAGTGTGCCTCTATGGTGTGTAGTAAAGACAAGGGAAAAAAATGTCCTACTTACTATAAGGGACAATAGGACTCAGCATTCTGTGGAGCTGGTCTCTGTAAGGAGGAATGATGTTTCATAAATGCCAGCTAAGGTTAGCGCCGGTCCGGTTGTGGTCCATCACTGGCATGAGTATGCACCGACAACACAACAACCCTGTGAGAGACAGGAGAAGGAAAAACAAAAAACAGAAAGAGATGAAGCAGAATTCCCTGCTACTACAAAATGCTTTAACAAATGTTACCCAACCAGATGAGTCCAAACACACCGAACCAGAGAATGATAGAGTTACAGACCAACCTGAGAACCCCATCAGTGTAACAAAACCAGAATTCACACTCACCCACTCACACACAGCCGGCCAAATTCAAACACACAAGGGCATTCATTACAGACCGGCATTAAGCTGATTGTGGAGCTGTGTCCAGTCTCTAAAGAGGGTTTTTTAGTCTCACAAAAAGACCCATGCATACCATTGCTTCATGCGCTGGGGCAATAAAGACTGCATTCTTGGGACAACAAATACTTTGAAGCTCCATATTCCAAATGCAGACAAAAGGTATTTCCTAATGAGTTTCACATGTCAGCTCATCTGATAAATAATATATCTGGGATTAAGTTTTATGACAGGATAGATTATACCTTTTAGAAGCGGAGAAAAAATACTTTGATCTACTTTAAAGGCTAAGTCAGCATATATTGTGTGAAATATTTGTTTTGCATTTTGTTAAAGCATAGGTTTAGTAAGCAGGTTACTATTTATGTTTTAATTGCTGAATTCTGTTATAAATCAAAAGAAGGCTGGCAATGTTTTGTTATCTTTGCATAGAAAAAAAATGCATTTTATACTAGAAATAGAAACAAGTAAAACATTTCTAAATATTAACTTCACATCCACATGGACAATTCTATAAATATACAGACCATTTATTTCCTACATTCCAAGAACTTTCTCAGACCACATTAAAAACATTGTAAAAAACATTTATTTACATTCCTTCATTCATATGAAGGCAATATTGTGCAATGACCACCTCAGCTCATCTCTAGACACCAACAGGCTTTACTCAGGCAACAACAAACCCCTCCACTTTGAACTGACAGCCAACTTTTACCACTCACAGCCCAGAATAACAGTCTGAGCTGCAGCGACAAACCACATCTTCCACTTCAAACAAACAGAGACGCTTGGCAGGAAGAAGATCCTATTTGCAAGGGAGAAGAACCGTCTAATGGTCAGTGACCAAAGAGAGGACAGAGCTGCTTCATAAGGGTTTGATTCAAACCACACAGCAGGAAGAGCAGCTGGCCATGACAGCAAATCAACATAGAGATGCAAAGAAGACAGGGCCTTACCTATTCAAGCCTGCATGTCCTCCATCAGATCTGAAAACACTAGGATAATCCCTGGAGCTGACCGGACTAGAGTGTGCACTGCTATGCTTTTTTTTCCACATATGGGACACAACTCTGCTCTTTCCCTCCCTCCCTCCCTCCCTATCTCTCTCCCACTCTCTCTCTCTCTCTCTCTCTCTCTCTGCTTCTCTCTGGCCAGTGACAACAGAGGTAGCACTCAGCTCCCATCCCCCATAGATCTCCCATCCCCCTCCCCTTCTTCTCTCTCTTTATGCTAAAAGTATTTAAGTAGGAAGAGGGAGAGAGAAGGAGGGGAGGGCAGCAAGGAGGGTGTGTACTGACCAATCATTTTCAGATGGAGAGAGAGGAGGGCACGGTACACTGAAGTGTTGACTGGTTTTTGGGTTGATAATGCATATTTGTGGATGAGATTGAAATATTAACAGATCTCTGTGGAAACTTTTATCTCTTTACAAAAACTAATTGAAGTTTCAAGTCTTCAGAGTTGAAAGTAATAACCATGCAAAACAAAGAATGTCACAACTCCAGTTGGCTAATGTTGTTAGTCTGTCTGGCAGCTTTAAAGATGAATTTAAAGATTCCACACATTTTAGGCAAGACAATAACAGATGAAAAACAAGAAAAGGGGGTTTGGCAAGCAGGACACAGTTTGTAGGTGCAGATAAACAGCTGCTTAAAACACACATGGGCCTGTCAGGTTTGGTGTAGAAGGGTCTGAGTGCAAGCACAATGAGCATGCTGCATGAAAGAAAATGGTTGAGAGTTCAGCAAGGAATGGTTAAAACAGCGAGGCAAATGTTGCATCTCATTTGTACTCAGAAGCCTGAATTTAATTTGGAACACACCCATTCCATTATTCCCTAAACTTGTATTTGAGAAACTGGACTGACAAGATCTCAAAGGAAAATGAGTTCCAGTTTTCAGTTTGTGGACTGTCATATTCTACATGGATACTACGACAGCCCCCATTACAGCCATTGCAATGACGAAAGCAAGGCTCTGCACATATACACACCATTGAAACATTTCAATCATTCCACCTGAATGACTGACTGCCTCATACAATAAAAAAAATGATAAATAATAAAAAAAAAACTACAAGCACTGAAAGTTGGAAAGTTTTACTACTTTTGACGCTATTAGCAAACATCTTGGGCATCTTGGAAGTAAGGTACCATACTGTTGCATGGACTTCCCGTCTAGTAATTCTACCTTTCAGAGGCCTTCCAGGTAAAATCTACAACTTAGAAATTCAAAATTTCAGAGGAGAAATGGAATGCATCAAAAGACCATATTCAACGTCAACATTCTGCCTTCTCAATGTTAATGTTTTAGCAGTGCTTTCTTAGTAATATGACTCCCTCAGTCTTTTATGTATCATTTTTACTGATCATAGACAGATGTGTTTCTACAATGTGGAGAAAGTTAAGTATAGAACTGCCCCAAACAACAGATCAGAAAGGTAAATCAGGCAGCAGAATAACAAATTATAGTATGTAGTGTTTTTACTCTATATTCAGTTGACCTCTAAATGTTGCAGCAGACTGAGCAGACAGTAAATAACATTAATATAATATAGCTTCTTTACCCACCAGAAGTCTCACTTTAGCATTAATTATAAATGTGTTGGTTAGCATGCTTGTTTTCTATCAGTTACGTAACTTAAGATGGTCAGAGTGGTAAGAAATGATATTCAAGATTCAGGTAAGAGCAACATTAGACTTAGACTCAACTTAATTTATCCCTCGGGATTACTCCTTCAGGGAAATTCTGGTTCAAGTAGCTTAGATAGAGTACAAAGGGCAGAGTTAAAGCAAGATGCCATTAGAGACAAAAATACAACAGACAATATAAAAAGAGTGCATATAGTGTTGAACAAAAGAGCATAAGAATAGTTGTAATGTCCTGAAATATGTTTCCTTCACTGAAAAAATACTGCAACCGCTTTTGGCATTTACTTTAATGCAATTATTTTATGTCCTACCCTGCTAAAATGAAACAACTGTGTTAAAGTAACTAAATATAATTAAGTAAATGCCCAAAACAGTTGCATTATGTTTTTCAGTGTTTTGATATAAAAATATCTGCACAGTAGAGAGCTAAGGAAAGACTACACATTAGTTGACTTGGATTATTGAACAGTGAGTGAGAAGACTATTGCACATGAGTAATAATAGGTAATGTTTTGCACAAAATATCCAAGAAGGGTGTGTTGACTGTTGTACAGCTTAATGGCTTGAGGAGCGAATGAGTTCAGCAGTCTGTTGGTCCTGCATTTAGGGAGGAGCAACCTCTCACTGAATATGCTCCTTCGAGTGGTACAGTGTGCAGAGGGTGGCTTGCACTGTCCATAATGTCCAGCATTTTAAGTGTCCTTGTCTCTGCCACTTTCCCCAGAGAGTTCAGTTTCTTGCCAAACACAGAGCCCACTCACCTGAACGGTTTGTCCAGTCTGGAGGTGTGCTTCTTGGATGTGCTGCTCCCCCAGCACACCACAGCGTAGAAAAAGACACAGGCAACTACAGACTGGTAGAACATCTCCAACAGCTTATTACAAATTGTTGACGGACCTCAGTCTCCTCAGGAAGCACATCCAGCTCTGTGTGTTCCTGTCCAGGTGGTTGGTTTTACTTCAAAATATTCCTGTTCAAGTAAAACTAAATATATGATACAGTAATATTACTAACTAATGTATTTTAACATTCATTATCTAAAGGAGTAAATGTCTCTATTACACAAAAATAAAATAGGTTTTTTTTTTATGTTTAGTTTAAAGAAAAAAATAAATAAAATAAGTGGGTTAGACTTAAAACCAGAAAATTTATACTGGCTTAGTAACAAAGCAGCAATTATCACAAGTGCCAAAGACTGCTTGGATACAACATTTTATAAAACCGTTATATTTTAGTTACTTTCTGAATGCTAATTTTGCTCCAACTGATGCCAAAGTTGGAAACAATTTTTTGATGATTAATTAAAAATATAGGAAATATCTAAATGAAGCCTGATCACAACCGATATCACCACCACAGCATTCATTTACAAAATACTACTTGTGCTATTTTTAATATTTTGCAATCCTAGTTTTCCAAGGGAAGAATTGTTTGAGCTTTGAGTGATTATTTAACAATGAATTTCAGGAGTTATACATCTCTTTACCCACATATAAAAAGCAAAGGTGAAGAGAAGTTACAAATATTTACCCCAGACAAAGATATGTGGAGTCAAACCTGTCTGACAGTCTGTTTTGCACCTGCCTGTGTGTGTACATTTTTAGCCTCTGCTTTCAAAGTCCATTTCAGTGAGGCCTCACAAACAAATGCACACAAATGTCACTTTGAACACAAAATCAGTAACTTATACTAACCGGTGTTACTCAGACAACAATATCAGTTTCACAATATCCTATTAAAGCCATGTCATTATCTCTGCATACAGGAAAATAAAATGGAGGTCAGATACAATAAAACACAAAGGCAGATCCCTCTCCCTCTATAAATTTTAGGCAAGCCTTTTGACCCAGTGATGACTTTTTCTCTCGTATGTAATTACTCTACCCTATCATAAAACATCCTGTGATCATTCATCTACAGAAATGAAATTAGGCGAAAACCCTGCAGAGTTTTTGTCATCACAAAGGCATGGCTAGCCTTTATGTCTCTTGAATTCACTGAAGATTTTCAGTGGGTTTCAGGCCTGCCTCATGGCTCAGCCTCAACTCCTCTGCTCTCCAATTTGGATGCCTTTAGCCTACCTAGATTATTTTCTTAATGAAGGAACATACTTACCGAGGTCACTCAGACTAATCACCACGATATAAGTATGATTAATGTTGGTATAAGGTATAAACGTCACATGAATTACAACATGCAAAATGTACATTTTAATGTTTTGAAAAGAGACAGTTAAGATCTGGCTTGCAGTAGAGCATTGACAAAATGTGTGTTTCCCTCAATCTCACTCAAAGTATTGTATTGTATTGTATTGTAGGTGCATAGATTTTGTGACTTTTCTTAAACTGTGTTGATTACCAGGTTATAAAAGATTCCACTCTCCTTACCCCAAACTGCACTGTGGAACGAAGCCAAGAGGCACACAAAAAGGAGATCAACATCTTCTTAACCAACTTAAGAATCTAATCTACAATCATGTTTTTTATTTCATTAACTGCAAACAGGGGAAGAAAGATTCTAAACTTCACAGCAAATTCATATTTATTATGAGGAAACTAAATTATCATAAAGCTTAATGACAGTACCGGTAATAACAAAAATGAAAGCTATATGCATTTAAGGCTCATTAAGGATCATTTGTGTCTGGACCAATCAAGGTCCTATACCGGCAGTTACTGACGAAGTTGTAAGCTGGACATCAGCTGTAAGGCAGCTTTTAAAGAGCAGAATAAAGATGCTGATGTTTTCTGTCTAAAAGGATCAACACTGATGCAGAACTGCAGCACTTGATGTGAATTAGACAAGCTGAGTAATAAACATATGCTGTGATCATTTATTTTACAATTAAAGGTTATGTGTAAGAAAACAGCTAAATTATCTGTGTGGGCCAACATGGTCCACAGACTATAAATCTGCAATATGGTCACATGGTTATTGTTTTAAAATCTAACAATTCGTCTTAGTAAAGAGCATGTTTGCATGATATACAAGGAGAGAAAAATAATCAATTAATTGCAATTCTTCTAAATGTTTCCTTTCAGTTTAAATAAAAACGCCAACAGCAACAACAAAATCAATCATTTGGAATAATATGTTATGTGCTCTAGTTGAGTTAGTCTGTGTTAATGATTTGATGGGTTTTTGAAACAACAAAAGAAGACACACTACTGAGTCACTCTAGGTATTTAGAGGGACTGGGACAGTGCACCATTATGGATATAAAGTTAACTTTACAATTATAAATTATAAGAAGATCTGTTCTACTTAGTATTGAATATATAATTACTGTATATCTTCTTTTTTTTTTACAATAGCATATAGAAAAAAATGTACAAAAACTTTTTTGGTTGATGAAGGCCTATTTGCCATCACCCTAATCTTTAGCCGATTCATTTCTCAGATTTCTTTTTGACCACAAATAAATTATCTAAAAGGAAAAAC